CCGACATAGTCAAATAGATTACAGTCAGTCAGCTACAACGTAGGACCAGGCACATATGTGCATCGGTCCAGGTTGCCATACCTCATTAGCACAGCAAGATGAACAGCGGATTCATAGGAGTGGTTAGGTCAAAGGTGGTAATATATAGGAGAAAGATTGCGTATAAGGATATAGTATAGGAAGAAAGAATTAGTTCGTAGAAAGAAAGATATGAAGTGGTTTTAATCTCTTAGTTTAAGGGAAGACGGGGAGTGTATACACCGACGCCATTGTGATCGATTCTGAGCCATGTCACCAAGAGTCTCCAACCATTGGTTACGAAAGTCACGCGGACCCCAACCAAGTAGTCTGCATCTACCAACATGGCTCAGACTAGAAGTTAGTGACTTCAGGCACTGATGCCACGTTTTGGTTTGGCCGCCCCTAACTTTCTTCCAACCATCCCCTACACCGGTTAGCATTGCACGTCGTGGTAATCGGTGTTCAGGCATACGTAATACGTGGCCCAACCATCTCAGTCGATGAAGATTCACAACCTCATCAACTGATTTACCATCATCCCCTAATACCCTGCGTCTAACCTCACTATTACTTACCCGGTGATCCCAGCAGATGCCAGCAATATTTTTAAGGCATCTGTGGTCAAATACTAGTAGCTTACGGGTGTCTTCTACTCTTAAGGGCCATGTCTCGCTGCCGTAAATTAAAACAGAACGAACTGCCGCGCAGTATACTCGTCCTTTTATTGATAGACGGATATCTCGCCTCCGCCAAAGGTGACGTAAGTTGGCAAAAGCCAAACGAGCTTTTCGAATCCATCCTGAGATTTCGTCAGACACCAACCCATTAGGGCTGATCAGACTTCCAAGATAAGTGAAGTTGTCAACGCGTTCGACTACTTCACTCCCTATCCTTAGTTCAGGTGTTGACGCAGACCAGTCCCGAAGCAACAACTTGCATTTCGAGGGAGAGAAGCGCATTCCAAACATTCTGGCATTGTTGCTTAGTGCTACCAAAAGACTCTGCATTCTATCAGCGTCTTCACCAAACAGGACTATGTCATCTGCGTATTCTAAGTCGATAAGTGGACCTCCTGGAAGGAGATCAATACCCGAGAATTCAGTCGACGAGAGTGTTATTTCCATCAATAGGTCTATGATGAAGTTAAACAAAAATGGAGAAAGTGGACAGCCTTGACGGACACCACTTGAAGTTGCAAAAGTAGATGACAGTTCGCCATAAGCCCTGACTCGACTAGTAGTGTTCGAGTAAAGAGCCTTCACAAGGTTTATGTACTTCTGAGGTACGCCTTTCAATGACAGACACTGCCACAGAGTCTCGCGGTCTACCGAGTCAAATGCTGCTTTCAAGTCAAGAAAGACCACCATCGTCGGACGCCGATAGGTATGCCTGTGTTCTAGAACCTGACGAATGGTGAATATGTGGTCGATGCAGCCACGACCAGGTCTGAAGCCAGCTTGGTTCTCTCGAGTTTGTAGTTCACGAGTCTTAGTTAGGCGTTTGATAATTATCGAGGCCAGTATTTTAGATACTATGTTTGTTAAACTAATCCCTCTATGGTTGTCACAGGATGATTTTGGCCCTTCCTTATATATTGGGACGATAAGTGATTGCGACTAGTCAGATGGGATAAAGTCTAATTCCCAGATCTTAGCTAAAATATTAGTCAACCTAATGGCTAAAATTGGACCACCATCCTTAAAGACCTCTGGAGCCAGTCCATCTGGACCAGCTGCCCTTCCTCGCTTCAGATTAACTATAGCCTTTTGAACTTCAGCAAGAGTTGGGGGACCTACTTCAATGTTCCATTCACATTGTCTGGGAATGGAGGGTAGTTGTAGAGTAGCTGAAGGCCAGCTGAACTGTTCTCTAAAATGTTCCGCCCATCGTTCTAAACGTCTGGACTGGGAGCAGATGAGAGTATCATCTTTTTCCGAAATAATCTCACTTACACTTGACTTATTAATTCCAGTTTCTTTTATTAGTCTGTAAAGCTGTCTTGTATTCCGTATAGTCGCCGCCTTTTCCATCTCTTTTGCTTTCGTTGCCCACCACTGCTCACGGTCGTTTCTTAGACTTTTTCTTAACCTAGATCTGATTTCTTTACGCTCTTCATCATGTTCAGAACCTGATGGGACGAGTTTGCGAGAATCCATCAGTGTGACAGACCTCGAAGAAATCCACTGGTTCCTTGCAACTCTGTGGTTTAAGTCACTAATAGATGTCACTGCTGTTTCCACAGCTGATTGTATGCCCTTCCAAGCAACATCTGGGTCAGCCTCGTCTTCACAACTACCTAAGTGTGACCTCAGTTGTTCCCGGAACCTACTTTTGGTTTTCTCGTTACTCAACTCAGTTCTAACGGGTCTTTTTAATGTGGATTTTTGGGTCCAGTGAGGCGCAAGCAGATGCGTGCCCGTATTAGGGCATGGTCGGAGTCCAAGCAGGTACTCCAGAATGAGCGACAATCTTCTACCGACCCTCTCCGACGATGACTGATGGCAATATGATCTATTTGAGTCCATCGTTGGTTTGTTGCAGGCGGTCGCCACGTTAGACGATGTCTCTCCTTATGTTTAAAATTTGTGTTTGCTAAAAATAAGCGATTGTCTGAGCACAGTTGCAGCAGACGGTCACCATTATCTGTTCGCTGTGCCGGAATGCTAAAATATCTACCTAAATGCCTTTCTGTTTGGTTTAAGCTACCTATCTGAGCATTAAAGTCACCCCGTACGAGTACTATGTCTGAGCGTTTAGCTTTCTGAAGAAGTTCAAATAGCTTTATGTAAAATTCATTTTCCACATCATCTGAGCTGCAGTCAGTGGGAGCGTAGGCAGAAACGACAAAAAGGCAACGACGTGTGTCCCTATCCTTCCGAGTTTTTACGGAGCCGTTTAGCCGAACAGCACATAGGCGACTGTTGACGGGGATCCACTCTAGCAGTGCTTGTTCCGCCCTCATGCTTAGTGCTATGCCTACACCTGCCAGTCCACGAGAACTTGCCATCGGGTCACCAGATACACGAAGGGTGTATCTCGTTGGCTCTCCGTTTTGCCGAGGTGAGGTCAAGTGAATAACCACATTGGAATCCTGTATGCGTGTTTCGGAGACACATCACACGTCAATGGTAAGAGAATCTAGGGTTTTAGCCAAGGAAGCCTGCTGACCGATTTGACATAGGGTTCGTACGTTGAAGGCTCCAATGTGTAGTTTGGAGCGAGGTTTCAGTAGACCTGGGACAGTGTTTTGCGCACAAGAATCGTTGGCTATGGTGACACTTGAGGTGGAAGCCGAGAGAGGAAATTTAAAGTTGAAAGTCGATGTAGGAGGAATAATAGGAATTGAAGAGAGAGGTTGATTATGAGTACAGTGGTCTTGAGTGTTGTTAGAGGTATGAGGGCGGTTATCACTTCCCGGTTGCCCACACCGTGGAAGGGTTGTTCTGGAGGTACCTGAAAAGGAAATTGGATTAAAGGTGGTCTTAGTGACCTGAGAGCGTGACCGCAGTGCCCAAGGGACAACTGCTTGAGGTCGGTCACACACGACCTTGTTATGGGTAAATTTTGTGTTAGCTCCGTACTTATTGAGACCTTACCGCTGGAGACGGATATCCGTGGGATAAGGCGAGGTGTGCATTTTTAGGGTCGACCTTTTCTAACCCCACCCCTCCTTGTGGGAAGGCAGCATCGCTGTCATGCTGGTTGTCTGAAGGAAACACCTTACTGCTGTCACACCTCTGTACAGTCAGCAGTACGACTTCGCCTCCGGACCTTGAGTTTGTTGCTTTTAGTCTTACCGCTCTTCAGCCGACCTGTCTGACATGGTAAGACCTTGAGGAACGGTTGTTCCAGCCAGTATAGCTCGGTTGCTTCATCACGATAGGCAAGCCCGACCACCACGTCAAGGTAGCAACAACGGTCGGGCAAATAGATTACACTAATAAACGAAAACAATTTAAGTTGTTTAATCCGATTATAAGTTTATTTTTATTCATTGCATGCATATAGATTCCAGTACAATGTAGGACCAATAAAATTGCATCACAAAAGAAATACGGGAGGAAATGGTAATACAATCATTAAATAAATGGATAAAAACAGTATGTAGTAAGAGATATAGTTCAGTCGATAATACATTCAAAAAAAGAAACCATCCAGTTAAAGGAGTTCACCTAACTTACGAAGAAAGTGATACGAAACTACAGCGTAATCGTCAGTGGCTCTTATTTTGAACTATATTTGATGGCATCTTAAGCTACAGAGTCGTACCATCTCTAGGACCCCGAATGGGGATTCGTGATGACTCGTCAGATGCTAGTTCTATGCAGTTGTCTACAATACTGCGGTACCATGTAACTAACTGGCTAAAAATATAGCGATGGTTTCTAACTGACTAAATCTACTAATGCATAGCATTAATAGTCAGTTTAAGTTTAATATTGGTTAATATCATGCATTGGTAAATATATGTCTGAAAATTTGGCGGGAACTACTTTAATGGTTAAACTCTGTGTGAACTGCGTGTCTAAGGATTTCTTTCGGCTCGTGTGTAGTTAGACGTTGGGAAAACAAATGTTTCATCCGAAGTTGTAGCAATAAAATGTTTTTTCCATAACCGGGAATAATGACCAACTTAAACTCCAAACTATCATATGGATTGGAAGTGAAGGTCAATTGAGCTAAATGAAAGATGACTGGCAAACTAGCGTTTATAACTTTCCGATAGAAATTCTTTTATGGGAAATCTTAGAGGAAGTTATTTTTTAAAACTTCAGATACGCTTTACTGACAAGTACCGACAATTACGGTGTTTTACTTTTACGATTAGGTCGCTACATATTCACATTCTAAGAGACTACTACAGTCAAAAACTAAAACTTAGTTCATAGGAATTCAGCTTCGTTCTTTAGAAAATAATAAAAAATGTAGATAAGAGCTGTACAGGTTACAATACACTGGTTTCTAGTTTCACATTTGCATCAGCCACGAGCACTCTCCATTTCATGGGGTTGTAGTGAAACCTTGCTGAGAAATGCTAAATAGCCTTTGTTGCATCGATTCGCATAATGTCCTTTCTCTCCACATTTAAAACATGTTACTTCGTCAAGTGGTTTTTGTGGGCCTTGTCGAGGTCCGGTAGGAGCAGCCTGTGAGGTCCCCATAAGACCACCGAACTTGAGACGTTCCGAAACAAACCGAGATCCGGGATTAACACCTTGTTGAGGCAACGCTGCGCCGCCAGTGCTAATATTCTGCATTCGCTGCTGCTCCTGTAGTCGAAGACGTTCCTCAGGTGATAGTTTGAGGCAAAATTGTATTTTGTGCCCACGTTCATCTAAAATGCAAAATACGGTACATTTTAAAGTCAAAAGACAGAAACTAATACACAGTATATGATGTAGAGGAAACTTACTGCAGTAATGACATATCCAGCGGCTTTTCTGTGTATCTTGATCACTTCCTGGAAGGGGCCACCATATAGGACTACAAAGTTTAGAAATAGAGTTTTACTCACTGCGCATATTTACATTCACGTCCTTTAGGACAAAAACCATTTATGTAGTTTTTGCACGCTACTCGTCTGACATGTCGATTTCGGCACAAAGGACCTAGACATATCTCTAAAAGTAAGAATCCTATTACCGTTTCTGCAAAACCCTCTATCATACCAAGGGCAATCCTGTACCTTAGAAGCAGGGTCAATATGAAGAAATGGACATTCTTTATTCATACACTCTCCTATATACCACTAGTAAGAAATAATCTGAAGCTCAACTTACCGAATTTCGAAAAGAAGTAACATTCTGGCATTTTAGTCATATCATATTCGTGTAGGAACTCGCAGTCATCACCTTTTTTGCACAATCCACGAAGCCAATGCTTGCATACGACTGTCCTGTCAGCTTTGATATGTCTCAAAGGACATAAATTATTAAGGGGACATTGATTAATAATAAAAAAACGACAAACGCCAGCACCGGACTCTAAAGAAACAGTATTAAATAAAATCTAAATAACTGTTCATATTTGAGAAAGGCAAACATCCCAATCCAATTTGATTTTCTAGTTGGCTCTCAATGATAAAGTCAATGTCTGATACATCTGCTATTAAATTGTCCATCTCAAGATTAGCTACAAAAGACCAAATCCAAATAAGATTTTACTACTTAAATATTAGTGATACAGAAAGAAAATGAAGTCTACTGGTGACCAGTTCTATAGATATCTAAACTAGAGGTTTTAAGGAATATGAGTACCTACGTACGAGCGCGCTAATACCATGTTTTGGGAAATGAGGAAATTATTTGTTAATAAATATAAAGATTGTAGATCGTTTCCAACCAACAATATTTGATCTACGTCATAGCTCTTTGTGTAATCCCTAATTTATAAATACTCTTGCAACAGCGGAGCAAAGCTATATCAAATGAATGATGATGATGGAGTTTTAGTACATAATTTTTTCGAAACATATGTAGTAAACCATTTTCTAATGCAAAGCTAAGCTAGTTGATGTATTTGAGGACAAGTATAAACTGACATCACTGCGACGCATTATTCAGTTTACTAACTAATATTTTGTCTCATGCTTCTCTCCTTTACCCGGTTTATTACACTGCTATGTCAAGTATGGAATATTTTCAATTCACCCTCAAAAATTCTAAATTGGGTGAAAAAGTTTAACGTAATACCGGATGTGTTTACAACTGATTTGCAAACGGAAAGTGGTCATACATAGCTACGTTAATACTCTGACAAACAATTGTAACCAAAAAGAATTTATGAGCTAACGACTCACACTGCCTATGCAATCTGTATAGTGGATCAGTCATCTTCAATCGATAACCCAATACAATTAATAAACAACATTTTTTAATTTCTCTACAGAGTTTAGAAGAATATTGAGCCTCATTGGTAGTTAACCTTTTGTCTTGAAACAGAAACAAACTAAATGTAATTCGTATGACAGATAAACTAGATAATACTCACTAAGAAAATGCCTGATAACGGTCACGATGAGAAAACACCGTATTATTGTAAATTGGATTTATCCTACATGTAAAGCTGGTCTAACAGATTAGCTATTGACCTCTATTCTGAGCCATGTCTGGTAACGTCTCAAGTCATTGAGTTGCACCATATCTCGGGCCCCAGTCAAAGAGTTGTAATGGACAAACAGATGCTAGTCCTATTCAGCTTTTTTCACACCCCAGTATCATGGAAATCGAGCTCCAAAATTATAGAGTAAAACAACTTGCACCGACGCGTTGTAGACCCAACCTTTCACAACCAGACTAGCATCACGACAGCGACAAGGAGAGTCTGAGTTGAGGCAACCCTCTCTGGGTTCCACTTTACGCAGACTGATCTCACTACTTACACCACCACCAGCAATATTGTCGTAAAGTACTCCAACTCTTTATGAAGTTGAAAAAGCTATACGAAATCTGAAGCGTGGGAGAGCAGCAGGACCTCACAAGTTTACCTCTGAGATTTTTAAGGATGGCAGTCCAGTATTAGCAGTGAGGTTGACTGAGGCCTTAGGGAGAGTCTGGAAGCTGGACGTAATCCCATCTGACTGGTCTCAATCACTGGTTGTGCCAGTCTATAAGAAAGGACAAAAGTCCTCTTGTGACAATCACAGAGGAATCAGTTTGACTAATATAGTGTCTAAAATATTAGCTTCAATAATACTTCGACGCCTAACTAAAGCTTGTGAAGAGCAGACTAGAGAAAATCAGGCTGGTTTTCGACCTGGACGTGGTTGTATAGACCACATATTCACACTACATCAGGTTCTAGAACACAGACACACGTTCAGACGCTCCACAATGGTAGTATTTCTCGACCTTAAGGCGGCATTCGACTCTGTCGATCGTAAGGTTCTATGGCAGTGCTTGTCACTGAAAGGAGTACCAAAGAAGTACATTAACCTTATAAAGGCTCTCTACTCCAACACAACTGGTAGAGTGAGAGCTTATGGCGAACTGTCATCAGAATTGATTACCTCAAGTGGTGTTCGTCATGGCTGTCCACTCTCTCTATTCTTCTTCAACTTTGTCATTGATGTACTTTTAGAGAAAACACTCTCCTCATCTAAATTTCTAGGGGTTGAACTTCTACCGGGAGGTTCACTTGTTGACTTAGAATATGCCGGTGACATAGTTCTGCTTGGTGAAGACGCTGACAAAATGCAGTCTTCTGACCACCGTAAGCAACAATGCAAGCATGTTCGGGCTGCCAGACCAAAACATGGCACAAATCCATGGAGTCACTGACAAGTGGACTGAGCCATGTTGGTAGGTGTAGACTACCTGGTTGGGATCCGCGAGACGATAGCAACCGATGGTTAGACACTTTGAATGACATGGCTAAAAATCGTTTGCAGTGGTGCAGGTGCATCCACTCTCTGTGTTCTCCCAAATTCTAATCTTCTGAATTCTTCATGTCCCTTTTTTCCTCTTTCCAAATTTATTTCACTGTATTATACTCCTTGAATAACATCTTCGAACCCTAATTTTTCCGATTACTGCTTATACTTTTACTACCTCTACCACTACGGTATTTGAATTGACAATTGTATCTCTGTGCTAATGTGGTATGGCAACTCGAATTGATGTACGTACGTACGTACGAAGTTCCACGTTGATAACTGACTGAATATCGTCTCTATACTCAAGATAGAAGTCTTTCTTCGAGTAGCAGACCCACTCCACGAGTAATCCCATCAGAGCTACCTTCATAATGCAATTGATGATAAAGTTGAGAAGCAAAATTTAAACTGAACAATTCTACTTAATCCCGTTTCTGAGACATAATAATCTCTCGAACCTTTCAATACAAGCAGCAGCCTCTGCAATAGTAGGGCTCAACATACACAAGTGAAAAAGCGAAATCCTGAAATACAACACAGGGAACACTAACCCAATAACACATGGAGAAACTCTGGAAGAGATGGGAACTTCCACGTGTCTAAGAAGCATCATTGATGAACGAGGGGGATCGGATGAAGTAAAGGCAAGGATTGGCAAAGCAAAGACAATATTTCTACAGCTGGACAACATATGGAACTCAAAACAACTGTCAACCAATATCTAAGTCAGAATATTCAATACGAACGTCAAGACAGTTCTGCTGTACGAAGTTGAAACTTGGAGAACTACTACAAGTATTTATAAACAATTGTCTACGCAAGATACTGAATGTGCGTTAGACATGTACGATCAGCAACAGCCTACTGTGGGAGAGAACAAACCAGCTTCCAGATGAAGAGGCAAGTTCGGTAAGACTCTGGAAGTGGATAGGACATACATTGTGGAAATCATCAAAACGGCATCATGAGGTAAGCGCCAACTCGGAATCACCGCCCCTGGTACGGCCGAGAGTGAGGAAAGTCCGCTCTTCCTCTAGTATACAGCCACTGCCAGGGAAGTCCTACTCACTGCCTTCTCGCGAACGGGGTGTTGTTTACGAAATTGAGAGGACGAAAAGCGAATTTCCAGCGCTTTAACCGGGTTGATAGACACGGAGGGTTCATCTAGGGGAGTTAGAAAACCATGATTCCAAAACAATGGTGTGCATGGGCTCTAGGATCTGAAAGAACAGATGCAATGCGAACCAACAGTTGGTCACCGGCTACCATGGGACTGCATCTCTCGACGTCGCTCCATTGCCTTGTGGATCAGACCTTTAGGTCGAAGGCTCCGGGTGTGGCCGCTTAAGAAAACTACCTGCTTCGGTCTGGACATTCGGGCAGTATCACAGCCCACACATAAATCACGTGACTGTGTTGCACATATGTACTCAGTCCTCCTTTGTACCAATATTCATGTGTTCAAACAAATAAAATAATTAACTCGGAATACTGAAGTGAAGAGGAGAAGAGGAAGAATAATGGGCATATGGAGTCGGAAATCGGAGGTAAACATCAAAAGAATGAACAGAAGCTTCAAAGGATTGCCTAGGACAGAGTTCGATGGAGAATCCTGGTGGGCGGCGCATGCTCCTCCGCGAGAGGTAACAGGCGTAAGTAAGTTCCCAAACAGCCTAGTCACTTCTCTGACCGGAAGTCCATCACCTTCCTTCAAAAGAGCCGAAGTTCAGCCATCTAGGTCTAGTGACCTGCGGCGCTTCAGGGGTCGGAGTTTCTTGCATATCATCTCGTTCGGTGGATCAGTCGCCACCAGAAAATCTTATGGATGCTTTTGGGGCAACACGTTAGCTGCACTGTTCCTCAAAGTGCCCTGCCCACTGTCCAAGACGTCTAAGGACATTACTGATTGGTGTACTACTAGCGTGACAGATATTTTACTCACAATAAGATCATTTCTGTCCGTGGCTATGAGTTGAAAGTCTACGGCAGAAACCAGATGCAGCTGATGCTTTTAACTCGTCAGGAAGCTCCAATCATGTTTCTTGGTTCATACACAATTCTTTGAAAGTCTTTATACAATTCGCCCCAAAGTAGACTGACGTAACTCAAGGAACGAGTAATCTTGAAGTTAGACGCAGCGTACTTGGTAAGGATGGCAAACTGACCGATGAAATAGTAAATATTTATCCTCTGAGATGGCTAGGACATACGTTACGTATGCCTAATCACCTCCTACCGCGACGTGAGACGATGGCTAGTGTGAGAGTAAGTTGGAAGAAAGCTAGGGTGCCCAAACCAGGACGTGGCACCTGCATATGAAGATACTGGCTGTTAGAGTGAGCTGTGTATGTAAGTGAAGACTACCTCATTGAGGTCTACATTATCATAACTATTTGTTAAAGACTTCGAGTGATCGGCTTAATAACCGAAAGAAGCTTAAATCTCATTGTATAAGGTTTCCCCATGACTTCTCTGAGTGTAGTTATTTCTTATCCACTTGTTAGTTTTTTGTCCCAAGATGTAGCCAAGGATTTCATTATCATGAAACATATTCCTAATGGTAACGATGTATTCGTAGGCACATAACTCGACAAATAGTTTCTTGTGTTGGTATTTAAAGTTTGGAGAACTATTTAGGGTAACTACCCAAGCTCCCAATTTGGGGGAAAATTTGGCACATTTTAGGGAAATTTTAGGGAAGCCGCTATAGTAAACTTTGAGGAAATTTTGGGCAAATGGCACAAAAC